CAATGAGTAAGTTAAATTTTACCCAGTTAATTTATTACAAATGTCGATACTTCATTTACCAAAACATTGCATTGCTTTTTAGCCCTCACCCGCAGCCGATCTACCGTCTGAACTTTGTAAGCCTCGAGTTCCGTTTCATTAAACGAATGGCTTTCACTCCAGGCCTACCAAAACCTTGCACCGTTCGCCAACGCTTTTCGCTGTCCGGTAAATGTTATTTTTTCCCGGTTTCATTCTGTTTTAGCTGGACTCGCCGATGAACCCGAAGAAGAAGTGCGGCCTTTGGCGTCACAGGATGCTCCTATGAGCGCATGAAGCTACGATTTCATTATTCGCACTATTTTTGGCTGTGCTTTGCCCTGATTTTGAATAAAAATATAAAAATCCGATTCGTCTGGGCAAAATAAGACCCTAGAGTAGACCCTAAATAACCACAATCCCGAGTTGTAACCCGATTGGTGCAGTGGTTCTCGGGTTTTGGCAAGAATACACTTGGTCTTTACTTACGTTTTTTTATATAGGATATTGTCGATGAATTAAGGCTTGCAAAGCAATGGCGAACAGTCTTTTTTCGCGAAATATGTCCTGTAATATAGCCGCAGCAATTTTGATAAACGATGGAGTGTCTACAATTTATGGTACAGACTATAAATCTGGTCATCGATGCGACCGTCTGAATTGATGCGTTCGTCGTGTGTCATTGTGCTGCAGCTCCACGCGCAAATCGTTGCAGCGTACCAAGCAAGTATCACCCGTGGGTCAGCTGGAGATAAATCCCGCTTTCAACGAGGTGCCAGCTCCGAGCCTGAAAGTGATCTTATCGAAAAATGTCGAAAATTATGGAATGGGGTCTGGCACGTTTTTTTTTCAGATCCTGTGCAAAACTGCATCCTACTATCCTACTACTATATATAAAAAAATAGTGTTTGTGTGTGTGTGTGTGCATTTGCATGCAACTTCCGCCCGTATGTTCCAGTCGTATCTCAATAGGGGAGGAAGTTAAGGGTACGTATGATACGTCATTAGGTGCGTAATGGTCATGACACGACTGCACGCACATGAGATTTTTAAAAATCAGCTATTTTCGATATTAAACTTAAGTTTTTGTGAAAATCTCGCTCGGCCTCTTTGTTAGGAATCAATTAGCATACACCGGAAGTGGGGGAAGCCTATATAATGGGCGAGAGGAAGCGCTTTTCATTTTTCTGCACAGGAATTCAGGTGTTTCTGCAAAGTGACGAAGTATGGGGGTAAGACGGGGGCAAGGGTTGAAAAGTCGCGAAGCGGCTTTTCAACCCTGGTTTTCCAATTAAATGCATAATGCTGTTTTTACCCGGGGTAAAATTGACCCGTGCAAATGAAGCTCGTGAAAAGTTTTCCTTTTTCATTTTGATGTGTCTTCGGTCATGCATCGTGTGTTTTGATAAGAATTGATAACGATCCGAGCAAGGCCTGAAAATTCACCACACTTCGTCATTCCACAATTATTTTTGCTCACCTATTTGAAACAAACCGGCCAGAGCCATTTGTGATTTGTCGACCTTTTTCGTTAGAGAAATCCTCGCAAAATTCTAAACGCGAGGTATACAGATGTATGGACATGGTTCCGCTTACCTGAATTGCGGGTCTATGTTTAATTATGCTGGCATTAGGCAATGTGTTGTACGTCAGTGCAGACGACGCCTTTTTAGAAGGCGTACAATTCGGAAAAATCACCGACAAGTCGAGGCTTAGCCTGAAATTTTAATATCAGCGTGATGATTACGAAGCGCACAAAACGCGTGCGATCAAGATGATAGAAGAAGACCAATATGGGACTGAATAAGCAATGTAGTTCTTGAATAGGTACGGTAAGCCAATTTGGGTTCAAATAATTTGGTCAAGTTCGCCCAAATAAATGGTGTATCATGCGAGGAAATGGAATAAAGTGAAAAAACGACGAAAAACGGTATGGCTAGTTCTGCTCACATCTGTTCAGGCAGCCTTGAAGTAATCGATTTTCGGCAGATTTTGCCCCAATTTTGCGGAAAATTACTATACTGGCCGAGCATTAATGATATTGATAATCATTACAAGAGGTGGAAAGGGCTTACGAGCAGAGCGAACTCGAAAATCGTTCATTGAGCGCATGAAAGAGCTTGGACCATAGGCGCCTGTGTGCGTTCTTCCATGCATGTACAAAATGATACCTGTCAGTGGTAGTTGAGTCGGCTAGGCATATATTGTATTGCAATGTAATTAGTTAACGTTTAGAGTATAAAGACTACTAAAGGTTTATAGCACCGTAAACGTGGTAATGGGTAATTGGTTGGGATAATCGGTTGGAGGGTGAAGCGATTTGGGTTGGTCCCACGGTTCCTTTATAGTAGCCGGAGGGCAGCAAAAACGGGCTGCAAGAAGAGCGGGCGCCCGGGCATTCCGCAACAGTTGGGGCGCGGCTGTTGCCCGGCTTGGGCGTCGTGGCGAGGGCGTTAAGCCAGGCGAGGCGAACGGCTCTCCCTCGGCATGAGGGTGAAGAGGAGAGGCACGTGCACGGTCCCCGCGAGGGGAGCCGGCTGTTTTCCCACGGTTTCCTGGAGTGTGAAAACCGGGGATCAAAAAGCCTTCTGTTAGGAATGACTTTCTCTGTCGCTAGTTGCGAGAGTCCAGGATTTACAACATACAAAAACGTTTATCCGCTTTCACATTTCTAGGCACAAAGGCCAGTAGCCAGAGTGCACTTGGTTCCTGTGGGGCACTTCGAGCAGGTCGTCCCCTGCTCGTAGGCCTTTTGACCGATGTAGTTCCCTCTAAAAAGTTTTATGAATTAATTAATAAAATTAGCATAGTGCAAGAACCTACGGTGGCCAATAGTTGCAGACCACAAAGTATGACTTGTCGCGGGTGCAATATTGGTATCCACAACCGACGGCAGTGGTCGTCGCCCAGGCCATCTAAAAGATGCATTCAAGCGCAAAAAATAGTGCGGATAAAACTAATTAACCTATAGCACAAACTACAAACCTGCGTGGCATGGCCTGTTTTCGATGAAAAGGTGTAGCCGACCGGGCCGTACGTGTAGAACTCGTTGGCCCACGCGTTGCTGCCAGCGGCACCTGTTGAGTTATGGTAGAGAGCGAGAGAGAGAGAGAGAGAGAGAGAGAGAGAGAGAAAGCGAGAGAGATATAGAGCGAGCGGAGATAAAGATCATCTACAAACTCACCAAGTCCATTCAACCGTCCTCCCCAAACGATGTACAGATTTTCGCCAACTCCCGCCGCCCCGGAGTGCTTGAGCCCTGGGCATGTATTTGCATAGGCTGAAGCTTTTGTGGCCAAAGTCGAGTTCCATACCTAAATTTTCAAGATATTTTTGCTTTGAGGATGTTTAGAAGTCATCTAAATTCATGAAAACCTGCCATTTGCCTCATGTTCGTGGCCTTGGCAAATACGGTACCGTCCTTGGCCTTGTAGGTGCCCTTGGAGAGGTTGGAGCGGAAATTGTTGTGCACCTGAACTTGAGGTATTTAAATTTTAACCTGAGGTTCATATTATCAACTATAATAAAAAAGTAGTGGTGTCTGTGTGTGTGTCCGGTCCCGGATTCAACTCGAAGGGGAAAGGAGCTAGAGCTTAGCTCTCTTCGGATTCGGATAGAGCGTGGTCAGAAACCCCCAAACTGATAAAAAAATTACGAAAAAGTTTTTGTTTAAATTATTAAAATTAACTTTGAAAGTGGCGCCTTAATAAAACGAGTGGGGGCCCCTCTCCCCGGGAGGCCACGCCCCCTTTCTCTTCGCCCCTCTTCCCCAGGCCCCTTCGCGCGCCCAGATGCCTTTTTGAGTTACTTTAATACTTTTAATACTTTTTAATTATGTTAATTAATTATTTAAATTATTTAAAGTATCTAAAGCCATCAGGAAGGTATTTAGGTAGTTTTTGAAGGGGATTTCAGCCATGGGGGGTATCTGAAGCCATCAGGAAGGTATTTAGGTAGTTTTTGAAGGGGATTTCAGCCATGGGGGTATCTGAAGCCATCAGGAAGGTATTTAGGTAGTTTTTGAAGGGGATTTCAGCCATGGGGGGTATCTGAAGCCATCGGGAAGGGATTTAGGTAGTTTTTGAAGGGGATTTCAGCCATGGGGGGTATCTGAAGCCATCAGGGAGGTATCTAAGTAGTTTTTGAAGGGGATTTCAGCCATGGGGGGTATCTGAAGCCATCAGGGAGGTATCTAAGTAGTTTTTGAAGGGGATTTCAGCCATGGGGGGTATCTGAAGCCATCAGGGAGGTATCGAAGTAGTTTTTGAAGGGGATTTCAGCCATGGGGGGTATCTGAAGCCATCAGGGAGGTATCTAAGTAGTTTTTGAAGGGGATTTCAGCCATGGGGGGTATCTGAAGCCATCAGGAAGGTATTTAGGTAGTTTTTGAAGGGGATTTCAGCCATGGGGGGTATCTGAAGCCATCGGGTAGGGATTTAGGTAGTTTTTGAAGGGGATTTCAGCCATGGGGGGTATCTGAAGCCATCAGGGAGGTATTTAAGTAGTTTTTGAAGGGGATTTCAGCCATGGGGGGTATCTGAAGCCATCAGGGAGGTATTTAGGTAGTTTTTGAAGGGGATTTCAGCCATGGGGGGTATCTGAAGCCATCGGGAAGGGATTTAGGTAGTTTTTGAAGGGGATTTCAGCCATGGGGGGTATCTGAAGCCATCAGGGAGGTATCTAAGTAGTTTTTGAAGGGGATTTCAGCCATGGGGGTATCTGAAGCCATCAGGGAGGTATCTAAGTAGTTTTTGAAGGGGATTTCAGCCATGGGGGGTATCTGAAGCCATCAGGGAGGTATCTAAGTAGTTTTTGAAGGGGATTTCAGCCATGGGGGGTATCTGAAGCCATCAGGGAAGTATCGAAGTAGTTTTTGAAGGGGATTTCAGCCATGGGGGGTATCTGAAGCCATCAGGAGGTATCTAAGTAGTTTTTGAAGGGATTTCAGCCATGGGGGTATCTGAAGCCATCAGGAAGGTATTTAGGTAGTTTTTGAAGGGGATTTCAGCCATGGGGGGTATCTGAAGCCATCGGGAAGGGATTTAGGTAGTTTTTGAAGGGATTTCAGCCATGGGGGGTATCTGAAGCCATCAGGGGAGGTATCTAAGTAGTTTTTGAAGGGGATTTCAGCCATGGGGGTATCTGAAGCCATCAGGGAGGTATTTAGGTAGTTTTTGAAGGGGGATTTCAGCCATGGGGGTATCTGAAGCCATCAGGAAGGTATTTAGGTATTTTTGAAGGGGATTTCAGCCATGGGGGGGTATCTGAAGCCATCGGGAAGGGATT